CCTCTCCCCCCCCCTGCCTGCCTGGGGCCAGGGAGGGCCTTGGTGGGGCTTCCTCGCACTCCCGCCGGCCTTGCAGGTCCACCGCCGGGCCCCGTCAGGGGGTGTGGCATATGCTAATGAGTTATGCTAATGAGTTCCCCTAGCTCTTTTTCTATGAAACGACCCCTGGTGGTGCTGGAGAAGACTCTTGAGAGTCCCTTGAACTGCAAGAAGATCAAATCAGTCAAGCCTAAAAGAAATCAACCCTAACTGTTCCCTGGAAGGCCAGATAATGAAACTGAAGCTCAAATACTTTTGGCCACCAAATGAGAAGGGAGCACTCCCTGGAGAAGACCCTGATGCTGGGAAAGATTGAAGGTCAAAGAAGACGTGGACGGCAAAGGATGAGATGGTTAGACAGTGTCATAGATGCAATGAACATGACGTTGAGCAAACTTCAGAGGACGGCGGAAGACAGGAGGGCCTGGCATGATCTGGTCCATGGGGTCGCTAAGAGTCGGATTCGACTGTGCGGCTGAACAACAACAGCAACGGACTGGTAACTCCCATTTCTATGTATCTGAGGAAGCTGTGCTTGCACACGAAAGCTCAGCCCTTGAATATAACTTTGTTGGTCTTCAAGGTGCCACTGGACTCGGACTTTGTTCTGCTATTTCAGATGAACAAGGCTACCCACATAAACGTACCTGCTTAGCAGCCGTGGTCTCATAAGCTCAGGCTACTATGGGCTATTCAGACTGTTGTAAATGGCATATGGCTTTAGGTAGGGGTGTGCATTTGGATCTTCCCAAGACAAAAATATACCCCCCAAAATACCTTAGAATGCTAGATGCAGAGTCATCCTTAGGCAGTAACAATTCAGTTCACAACTCTTCATTCAAATCAGATGAGTAAGGCAGTAGTGAATCCAGTAAGGCAGTAATACATCCAGTTCACAACTCCTCTTTCATCCTAGCTGCCTCTGTAGCTGTAGCAGCAGAAAGGAAAACTGGGTTGAGGGAGAGAAGGAAGGTTGACTATTTTACTGTAACTTGTTTTATTGTTGTAATCTGCCCTGAGCCTCACTATACAGGAGAGGACAGACTAGAAATTTTAATGAAACAAACAAACAAACAGTAACTTGCATTATTACACAGCACTCTCAAATCCAGTAAAGTGACTCCTTCTGTGCTTCGCCAACAGGCCCACATCTTGAAGAAAACACATCTCTGGACTGACTATAAGTTCCTGAGGTTGGCCATGGCTGGAATCCCACCCTTGAAGAATCCCCAACTCTCCATTAAAAACCTGAGCTTTGACGGCATACCAGTTAGGATGTACCAGCCGAGGGGTTCGTGTGACAAAGGATGGAGAGGAATTCTTTACTTTCATGGTGGGATTGGCCTGTATGGAAGCATTGGTAAGAAACTGAAAGTAGGGAGTTTGATCGATAAGAAAGCCACCTGTGGTCAGGCAGGGTCAGCTAGGCCTCTGTCGGTCCTGGCTGCCATGGGAATGGGGGGAGGCTATGGAATGTTGAGTTTCATTTTGGCTGTGTCTTCAGTGTTTCTATTCTCTCTGAAACCTTGGATGCTTGGTGTAGCCTTTCTCTTGGGAAATGTAATCTGTTACTTTGGCGGGCTCCTACCTGCAGCTTGATTGGCCATGGGCCATCAGGTAGGGTTCCCAAGTAGTTACCGCGATCCGGCGGGGAACACATGCTCCCTGGCCGGAATATTCCTCCCTGTAACGCACCATGCCGTCACCAGGAAGTGAGGCTGGGCGACGCTTTGACAATGGGGCTGAAAACTCGATGGTACCATCGAGTTTCCAGCCCCATTGCCAGAGCATCGCCCAGCGTCACTTCCTGGCGACGGCATGGTGCCGCGCATCTGTTGTCCACGCTGCAATGGTCCTGGGAAGACTTATGTGTCCCCCGCCGAATCACGGTAAGTACTTGGTAAGCCTGCTATCAGGGGACCCCCTTGAATCTATATATCTAATAGCGAAAGGTGCCCCCTGTGTGTGGATATCTAAATCCGCGCATCGGGGGCACCTGGGGGGGAAGGAGATTTTCGTGCACACTTGGGGCAGTCCCCAGGTGTGCACAAAAATCTGAAACCTGTAAAAAAATATCAGGGGGATATTGCTCAGCAGGTCAAGTGTTAGAATTGCCTCCAAGTTGCATTATTTCCCCCTTTCTATATTTAGCTACTTGTGCATGCATGCACTTTACATATGTATGTACCAATGGATGTTATTGTTGTAACTCTTACCATAACGGTCTGGTGGATTCCCCCTAGATGCCTATGAAAGAGAGTTATGCAAGAGTGTGCCGTGGCATTGCCCAGGAGAGCAATTCCCTTGTGGTGTCTGTTGGGTAAGTGAACATTTTGGCATGGCTTCTCAGCCTTTTGGCTAAGATCAAGTGTCGTAAATGTTAGTCAAACACCCTAGGACCTACATCAGCAAGAGTCTGGGAGGATGGTAGAGTTGGAGGATCAAAGGTCACAGGTAGGCATCTAGAGGAAGATAATCATAGAGGAATGGGGAAATACAAGTACCATTTTCACAAAGAGCAAGCCCCCACATCAGCGCTCTTAAATAATCGAGCTACTCAAAAGATTCTGCACCAAATTGTGCCTTCCCAGGAGTAGATTTGAATGTTGTGCCCCATTACCTTGTGTTTTCAGAAGCCATGAATTCAGCAATTTTTCCACTTTGGATTGTGATTTGTGCCGCCATTTTGTGTTGTGTCATCAGTGACCCATGTTCACCCTGCATACCGCGACCTGCCCAGAGACATGCACCATTTTTAAAAAACATAAGTTTGATTGCATTATTTATGACACAATGTGGAGGCTTTTTTGGTGTTTGTTTGCATTGGTTGGGGCAAGTTGCAAAAGTTCTTTTGCAAGCAAACGAGCAACTCACCATCGTCTCATGAGGCCCCAAAAATACACACCGTGGCTGGGGCGAGCTGGTAACTCATTTTTTTGCCTTTGGCTTGGCACATGTGCTCCAGCAAACTGTTGAGCCTATGTTTTGCTATGCAAGGTGCAGGCAGGGGCTGTTCCTGGCTGAGTTTCTGTTTTCCCCTATGCATCGATTCTTTAAATTGTGACCGAAGATGCTTCTTTTTTGGGGGAGGGGGAGAGATCTGGTTTTTCAGCTGCATTTTGGGAAGCCCCAAGCTGCTCCCTGTGCAGTGTTTAGGGCTGCCAAGTCCCCCCGGGGGCGGATTTCCCCCCGCTTTGGAGGCCCGATTTCCGCCGCCGTGGAATCGGGCCCCGGGGGAAACCCCACCCCGGCGTGCACGGCAGCTGGAGGTGACGTGATGACGCCGGGCATGCTGGGGGCGGGGCCACAGCCATCTGAGGGGAAAACTCTGTGGGGTAGATTAGGTAGAGAAGGGGAGATTTGGCCCGGGGTCACTCAGCCAGCAGAGTGAGAATACAAACCTGGGTCTCCCCACGTCAATCTGCAACTCTGACCACTGTGCAGTGCTGCCTCTACTGTAATGTTCCAGAGGTGTTGTAATGTAATACCCAGTTTCAAAAACGAGTGTATGCTTGTCTGTTGGTCCACTTAGGAGTCTTGATCCTGGTCGTGTGGTGGGCTAGTTGTGGCAAATGGTAGGGAAGCTCAGTATTTCTGTATACAGTTG